GCGATTTGTCCCATGCGCGCGCAACCCTCTGCGGAGATCGTGCGTGTCGAGTGCGCGAAATGCAGGCGAGCACTGGCGACTTTGTAGTACAACTTTAGTACGCGGAGTATCTGGGGAGCTGGAAGATGAGAACTGGTGACTTGGTAGTACAACTTTAGTACGCGGAGCAATCTGTGGAGCTGGAAGCTGAGAACTGGCGACCTTGTAGTACAACTGTAGTACGCAGAGTATCTGGGGAGCTGGAAGCTGAGAACTGGCGACTTGGTAGTACAACTTTAGTACGCGGAGCAATCTGTGGAGCTGGAAGCTGAGCACTGGCGACCTTGTAGTACAACTGTAGTACGCAGAGTATCTGGGGAGCTGGGAGCTGAGAACTGGCGACTTGGTAGTACAACTTTAGTACGCGGAGCAATCTGTGGAGCTGGAAGCTGAGAACTGGCGACCTTGTAGTACAACTGTAGTACGCAGAGTATCGGGGGAGCTGGAAGCTGAGAACTGGCGACCTTGTAGTACAACTTTAGTACGCGGAGCATCTGTGGAGCTGGAAGAGTGTCCCACAACAGTGTCCCACGAGAGTTTCCTGCAAGAGTGTCCCACAAGAGTGTCCCACAAGAGTGTCCTACAAGAGTGTCCCACAAGAGTTTCCTACAAGAGTGTCCTACAAGAGTGTCCCACAAGAGTTTCCTACAAGAGTGTCATTTGGACATATGTAGCTTTTCGAACGTGTTTCCATTCGGGTTCGTGGGTTCCATCTTGTTCCGACCTTCAACCTACTAGCAATGGCCTCCAACCTACCACCAGCGATGGCCACCCTTCAGGCGAACTTGGCGATCCAGATCTGGGACGACATTTGTTGGGTCTCAAAGAGCTTGAAGAGTTTCTCCGAGACCGACACTTCAGCCACCTCAGAGGCCGCCTGTCGTGCGAATTGTCGTCGAGATGCCAAGTGTCCCAGTTATTCGTGGGCGGGCACATGCCGCCGTCACATGAACCATCCGAGTTTGGGAGCTACCACAGTGGTTTGGGCGAAGGTCACGAATTGTACCAGTGAGTTTGCTTGCAAGGATGTCTCTACCGGCAGCTGGTATCAGTCGGGCCTCTACTGCCCAGTAGCGCCCGACGTTTTCCGGCAGGACATTCTCTATTTGAAGACGGGCGCCACCCCCGAAGAGACCTTGTACTTGTCGAAGTTTGTGTCAAGCATCGACGGTTCAGTGAATGGGTGCACCACAGGGAATTGGATCATTCGCCAAGCTGCTCCAGAAAAGGATTATATCAAGATGGAGACTGGTGAAGTGGAACTGGCCGGGCCATTTGTGCGGTGCCTTTCGACCAATTTCGATTTTGGTGTGGCGAACTGCCCCCAGCCCAACATCACTGTCCCAGATGAAGGTTTTGCACCGATGGTGGTGGATGATCCTTACACCGTTGAACCTGCAGACTATTGGTTACATCCTTGTGAATGTGCTCCGGCAGCTTGGGGAATGGAGAAACCGGTGAATCCGGAGTCTTTTGAATCCGTTCCTGGAAAAAGTCTGAACAGCTTCATCCCACCGGCCTTTGAGCTTGTCAGTGGCCAATTTGTTTGCCCGGCTAAGGATTGAAGCTTTTCTTGTCACCTTTTGTTAGACTTGTGTATATTCTAGTTAAGTTTCCCAAAAACATCTTGGCGTTGAGCTATCCTGCGTCCAGTTACTTGAAGCTTAAGTAGTCACCCTTACTTAATTAAGCAGCAGGGCCACGGGCAAGAAAGTAAAGCAAGTAAGAACCCGATACAGATTCAGAACGTCAGAAGAGGCAAAAAAGGGCATTGCCGGTAGACTGCCTTGCGCGAGGAGCTCGTCGATAACGGCGTGCACTTTGAGACAGAGACAGAGGCCATGGAGCGTTCAGATTGTGAGGCTCGTTGCAAAGCTCAGAATCTTTGCAACTTCTTCTGGCATGGCTCACAACAGGTTCGGGCCACACGTTTTGCAAACTGAGCCCAAAGGGGCCAATGAAGACCTGCCAGTTCCTGTTGATTGAATGGTTTAATGTTGAATCAGCAGAAGGCCATTGCTAGTGGGTTGGAGGCCATTGCTGTGTTTCACCCTGGAAGGGTGCAAACACTTGTCGGCTCTACAGTGCATGCTCTCGTTTGGTGCGCGAGTTGGGTTTGGAAGGACGCTTGGAGGCACTACCTCGAAGCATCAGCTGTCAAGTTGCAGACCCTGACGCATGTTGGTCCACCAGTTTGCGACGCAGCTCCTTGACAACGCCTGAAGCTGGACTGCATTAGCGAAAGCCTCCAACCTACTAGCGATGACCTCCAACCCAAGAGCAATAGAAAATAAACAACGTTTGTTTGCAACACACGTTTGCCGAAAACAATTTCACGGCACCATTTGGCCGAGAATGCATGATTTTTGGCCCTGGGACTGGAACGTTTTCTACTTACGTGTGCCTTCGCTGCGCTCGCTGACATTGCAAGACTGAATCACAGGAAATGATTGCCCATCACTTGGCATGTTGATATTCTTCCACAGATAATCAGATAATCCAAGGAACCACAGGCCTTTCTGTATTGGGAGTTGCACCAACAATGTGACGAAGCATTGCTACTGGGTGGTGTTGGTGTGGACACCTGCGCGCGACCCACCTATAGAGCCCTGAACTCTCACCAGTGGCAGCACAAAAGCCGTTTGCCCGAGACTTTTTTGCATGGAACTCGGCTGAAGGACGGGGCAGAGCAGTCTTAACACCGCATGACGTGGTGTTCCTGCATTGCTGCATAACGCATTTCTCTATTAGCTTGGAGCCCATCCGTCTTAGGTTGGAGGCCATCGCTATTAGGAATTGCATAAAGGTTGGAGGCCATTGCTGGAGGCCATCGCTCTTAGGTTGGAGGCCATCGCTATGAGGTTGGAGGCCATCGCTATTAGGTTGGAGGCCATCGCTGTTAGGTTGAAGGCCATCGCTGTTAGGTTGGAGGCCATTGCTATTTGGTTGGAGGCCATTGCTTCTAGGTTGGAGGCCATCGCTAGCAGGTTGGAGGCCATCGTTACTAGGTTGGAGGCGATTAAAGAGAGACAGTGGGAGGTCTCCTGCTGGACTGAGCGCTATGCTGGCCTTCAAGGAAGCAGCAGTGCTCAAGAGATGTCAATCTATTGCGTGAATGGTTTGTGGTTCAATGCGAACAACGAAGCGGAGTTGGGTTCCTTCTCATGTGAGGCCTGTGTGCAAGTGGGGGCGAGTGGGTTCAAGGAGATTGAGGCACGCAATGAGCAGGAGATTTGGTACATGAACCGCATGAAGCTGTCTATCGCCACGGAAGTGGTTGACAATACACAATCAAAAGTACATTGCCTGCGCTTTGGTAGTGGTAACCAGGACTGGGGCGGGTTAGAATCCAAAGCTGTAGATGTATGAAAGCTCAATTTCCAAGGGATGGGTGTGGTACTCGGTGTACAAAATTTGCTTTGGAGGACTTGAAGATGGCTTTGCAGGATGCTTGCAGTGCGACTCTTCTTGCTGAGTTCGACAGCATTACCAGTAGCGACTCGCGCCATGTCAAGCTGCTAGAAGGCAACAACCAGTGTCTGGAGGAGGCCGGTGAGAACGAAAACATTACCGTCGTAGGATTGTGTGTTGGACACGAAAGAAGCACATACAGTAACATAACTCTATAAGTAATAATGTATCTGTTCCACATGAGACTTGGACCGCCGGACTGTAAGAAAATCATGAAAGATGAGAGTTGAGGCTATGTACCCTAGCAGTACCAGCAGCCTATATTCTTTAGGCTCGCGCTGAATTGACATCTCTGAACCCTCACTGAATCAACCGACGCCATGGACCATGCTTGTACATTGCACACATCATACAGTGCATTGCACCACATCGGTTGCAGAGATCAACTGAAAACGGATTCCATGGACACCAGTTGACCTGCAGCACATGAGAGATGGGAGACAGGCCCGACAGGCACCTTGAGCTTTTGCTCACCTGGATCAAAACAACCGCTTCAGCGCACGGTGCATTTCATCTTAAACCCTACTAGCGATGGCCTCCAACCTAGTAGCTTCTTGTTACTAGTAGTAATGCCAGGAGCTACTTGTAGCTTCTTGCTCCTACTAGCAATGGCCTCCCCCTACTTTGTCACATATTGTTCTGACTCCACCGTTTCCACGGAAGCCACGGAGGACGCTACTGCCTGCAACTCTTTCAGATGTGTTGCACTCTAGGGCACTCATGGGGAAGGCCATCGCGTTTCTAGTAGCGATGCCCTTTGCTCCTAGTAGTAAAGCCAGGAGCCCCTAGTAGCGTCCTTGCTCCTAGTAGCGATGACCTTTGCTCCTAGTAGTAAAGCCAGGAGCCCCTAGTAGCTTCATTGCTCCTAGTAGCGATGCCCTTTGCTCCTAGTAGTAAGGCCAGGAGCCCCTAGTAGCGTCCTTGCTCCTAGTAGCGATGACCTTTGCTCCTAGTAGTAAGGCCAGGAGCCCCTAGTAGCTTCCTTGCTCCTAATAGCGATGCCCTTTGCTCCTAGTAGTCTTCCTTGCTCCTAGTAGCGATGCCCTTTGTTCCTAGTAATAAGGGCAGGGGCCCCTAGTAGCGTCCTTGCTCCTATTAGCGATGCCCTTTGCTCCTAGCAGTAAGGCCAGGAGCCCCTAGTAGCTTCCTTGCTCCTAGTAGCGATGCCCTTTGTTCCTAGTAGTAAGGGCAGGAGCCCCTAGTAGTTCCTTGCTCCTAGTAGCGATGCCCTTTGCTCCTAGTAGTAAGGGCAGGAGCCCCTAGTAGCGTCCTTGCTCCTAGTAGCGATGCCCTTTGC